TTTGTAAAGTGTCTCGAGATAACACTTGTTATGAGTTGACGCTATACAAATAAAAACTGATTGATTGAATTGATTGATATTATGTGAGCTTAGATTTCACAACCCTTGATTTATCTGTCTTTGAAGAAACAGTGTTACATTATCCTTAAAGTATGCAGGCAGGAAAGTCCAAAGAAATCAAATGCCTACTGAGTAATTATTTACGTAACCACAAACCTCAGTATAAGCTTCCCATTTAAAACAAACCAAAGTTGTATTATTATTTCTCAGAAGTTTCACTTTTTCCTGTTAGATATCTTACCTTGAATGAAGAAAAACACACTGGACGTTGTGTGACAGGTTGATGAGTGTTAAGGCCTGTAAATTCTGGGGTGAAAAGCACTTTCAGTCAGCTACCTTTGCTGCAGACTTGAAGCATCGGAGCAGCTCAGTGATGTATGTGGTGCTCTGTCTACACAGACAGAGAAGGGGATAGTGTCGTAATTGAAGCATTATATAATGTTCCTCCTGATCTGATGCTAACAAATGTCTTACTGATAAACTGGTACACTTTAGCTTGTTTATTGACCATGGTTGACAGAAGCAGACTATTTTAAAGGAAAACCTCTTCTAAAATGTGGATTACTTAAACTTTCACAGGAGTGTATCACAATGATTCAATCAGCAATCTTGTCCTCTCTACTCTATCTTGAAATAGTCAAGTTCCTGTATAGAGCCCCCCCCACCAAAAAAAAGTAGTGCACTTTCACATTGCATTATGTTGTTATATTACTTTGTGTTACTTGCTGTTACATTGACTTTGCCTTAGTGCTAATAACAAAGTGAGCTGTATCATCCTTCCTTGCAGAGACATTTTACCTTGAATCACTATTTCCTTGAACTATATGCCATGAGACACAATATCACAACAAATGGAGGAAGAGGTGAGTTTACAAACCCTGTACGCTGTGGAATCTCAAGCTATTTGTGTCCAAGCCCAGAAATGGGAAAGTCCAACAAAACATGTTTAATTATTTTAATTGAATGGATTGAAAACTCCCTGGGCTTTGAGGTACCATTTAGAAGTCCCAGAGGGCCACCGATGGCTCTTTGAGGCTGCCACTTTTATGGTCCTATGTGAAAAAAATCATAAAAAATGTATTCTATACAATATTTTCCCCAAAGGATAAAAACCTCTTAACAACACATTACTCTGTTTTTGGCACATAATGTCTGATCGTCATAACGTCTGACGTCTGTAGCACATAGTAGAACTTTCAGTGCTTCCTTTTCTCTCATCTAGCAGACCTCTGTATAAGTCCCAGGAGAAAACGAATCGGCCTTAACTGCAACTGTTTATCAGCAGTTTTAGCACATTGTGACCTTAGTGAAGAAGTTGCACTTTCATTTGGTTTTGCCATCAAAACCACTGAGGGTTCAAGTTTCTGATGCCTGTAACCTTTTCTGATGAAGGTACATAATTGACTTCCAATCGTAATACAATAGTCGGCTGACTGTTAACAACTCAAAATGTGTGTGCATGTGCGCAAATATAAATATTACATTTAGTGTAAAGAATTAAAATAAAATATAAAAAACACCTACGCACTTGATTATATTGATGCTGATGATGATGTTGAGGCTGATTAGAATCTTCATGACAAGCTGTCGATGTTGTTGAGGATGATGATATACAGTATATATTTAAGAAAATAAATGAAATCTGTGCACTTCCTGTTAGCACCTGTGTCTGATGTGACTTGAAGCTGTTGGTTTGCTCTTACTAACGTTGTTTCCTGCTCTCTATATCCTTCTTTGTGTTGTTCTTACTCTCTGATGTACGTCGCTTTGGACAGAAGCATCTGCTAAAGTTATTTTACATTATTCGACCTCATGATTCTTTGAGAAAAGCCCTCTGAGTTCAGAACCACGAGTAAGATGTTTTTGGGGGAATGTCTATTGGAAGCCTTCACCATTGACATCCAGATAAATATTCATTCATGAATCATTCATTTTTACAGAAACCTTTGTTATTCAAACATGCTGTATTTTATGACTGCACATAGTTCACATTTTTGCATGTTCAGCTGACCTGCTGTGAACTTTTGAGTGTGGTGCTAGCTTTTACTTCAGCTTCTTGTCAAAATTAAGTTATTCATGATTGTATTATTTTCTTTTCTACCTTTTTTGAGCCAGCTGTTACACCATCTATAGATCTCCATAAACATGGTTAGTCACTGACTCCCATTCTTCCAGCACTCAATAAGCACAGAGCAGTGTGAGCATTCATGAACTTCAATCATACACTTGTTTCTGGAAATACTGTTCACTGTGGGGGCTTAGCTTGAGAACAAAAGAAGGAACAGGCTGCTCATTGCCTCTAAATCGTTTGAAACCATTGAATGTGCTAGACAGACCATTGCAATGTGAACATGAGAAGCTCTAGACCTGTTAACTGTAAAAGTAATTATACATCAAAATCACTTATATAAAAACTTGTATAATGTTCTAATGTACTATAGCCTATAGGTGATGTATTGTGTAACTGCAATGCTGCTCTTCACCTGTTGAAACATGGAGCCTGTAGCCTCAGTACTTTTCAGTGAGCAGACAAAGTCTACAGTATATTCTGTGTTTGCTTTAGTGTTCTGTGGATGGCATAGTAGCTTAGCTGCTCTGTTACTTCTGTGATCTAAATGAATCAATGAGTCAGATGGTGGTGACTCGCTGCGCGCTGTATGCTAAATGTACCGGGCCTACAGTGTCTCTCTTTAATGTTTTAATAATGATCCCTGACTGGCAATGGCTACTCTGCAGTGCAGCTAAACCACAATGATGTTGAAAAAAGAATCAGACTGACTGCTTACTGTGTTCTGACTAAAGATAATAAACAGAGATTCTCCAAAGATATATGTCAGTTTCAGTCTTTGTTATAAGTGAATGTTCTGGAAGAAAGAGAAAGCGAGAGAGAGAGAGACAGAGTGAGAGAGAAACGTCTTGTCCAGACACTCCAGGATGTTTGAAGATATTTGTTGATATTTGATTGTTTTAAAATGCATCGTATCAGAAAGTGTGTATTGAATAGTGTATTGAAAGTGTTCAGTTTTACCAACCTTAATCTAAAGCTTTAAATGAGTCATTTGTAAGGATATAAAGATGAATCATGAGGCAGTTCAAAATCGATTAAAAAAAAGTCAAGGTTCACATCGGTACTTTGAAAAATGAATCACAGTAATATCGTGACAGTCGGCAGCTGTAGAGCAGAGGCAGTTGGTTGTAAGAAGCAGGCGTTATCATGGCAGCTACGGAGGCTAAACCACACTAACAAGCGGGTTTTCAGCCCCGCTCGGCCAAACGAGTGCAAAAGCCAAAGAGATTACGAGGGGCATTTGTGATTTTAGGAAAAAATTAAAGGAATCTTTTTCAGTCATCTCATAATTTTTGTCTTCAGTCTCATTTTGTAAAATAAATCGTGAGAGAATCGTTTGGTGAACCCACTATCTTGAATCATTTCATCCTTGAAATCCTGGAAACGCCCCAGTTCAGTCACATGACTCATGCCACGCCCCTGAAAGTGGCAGCCACCACTGAACACTGTGAAGCTTCAGCACAGGCTTTTTAATTTTCTTTCTCTCCACAATGACGCATATTTACATCACCTTACAACCGCAGAAAACCTGAGATATTACTGTGAGAGAAACTGAAAGTTTTGGGTACTGGTAACCCTTCAGCTTACAATAGCAAAGTCCTTGCTAGAACTTCACTTCCATGATTTTTACATCGCTGCTAGGATAACAAAAAGGTCTACAAAAGCTCTGGCAGCTTAATTTAATTTTTTCCATGAGGCTGGGTTAGTAATGCTGCTGTTTGGGAAGTGAAGGGCAAGAAATTCATCATGAAAGCATAAGTGAGTGCTCATTAGATAACATTTGCTATTTAACATTTACTTAGCATCAGGATCACTGTCAGCTGTCCCTTTCAGTCAGTGTTCTGGGGCAGTAATGTTGCTTAAAAGGCAGGAATATTTTGCCCAAGTTAACACAATATTTTAGTGCACGATTAGGAGAAGTTTGTTCTGATGTTCCCTCATGAGACAGTGAGGCATCTAATAGCATTAATCCACAAACTCCTCCTCCTCCCTGTCTTCTTTCTCTGATGGGGTTCTGTAGAAGTTAAATCCTGGCTTGTCGGAATAACAAATGTCCTTCATTTTTAAAAGTAGAAGTAAAATAGGTTGAAACAAGTAGTTAGCAACTTCTCCTTCTAACTGCGCCGTCAGGCGGGAAGTTCCATATGTGACGTCACAGGAAAACTATCCTTTTGTTCCACGTGACAATCTACAGAGTGCATGTTCGTCTGTCCTCAGGTTCCCCCCCATACAACATGATATCAGATTGTGAATACTGTATTTAACATGTTTTATTGAACTCAGAACAGAGATTCATCTGACTGCAATCGGGGTGAGTAAAATCACTGTTAACATACAGTTGCCTCACATAATATGTTAGTGTACTTGTTACCTAACAGGCCTATTACGTTTCCTCAAGGTTTGTTAAAGCAATACCTAAATCTATAGTGTGTTTGAATCTATCATAAGTAAGTCAAAAGCATTTTTACTATGTTTTTTTTAGGTTAAAAATAAGATACTGCAAGGTAGCATGAAGAGAGGTAGAAGACAACATTCAAAGATATTTTCTTACTGTGGAATTAAAAGCCCTTTTCAGACTGCCGCTTAAAGGCGCAATATTCAAGTCCTTGTGACGTTTCACCTTCAATCTGAATGTCAGGGAGGCGTAATGTGGGTACGAAGTGTTCCCCTCCTTGTACAATTTTTGGAGGTATGGTGCGTTCCATTTGATCTTTGAAGGTGGAAATTCCAAGTTGTTGTTTGATACCTCATCAGGAACGCCCCACTGAAGTCAGAATTCCGACTTGGAACCGTATCATGAAAGTTCTAGATGTGGGCATGGTGTCATGTTATTGTAACGAGCAAACGATCACCTAGTATGTTCAAAGGTAGTATGCCAACTCGCAATCTTGAGCGCGGTTCACTCGGTTGTGACGTCATTCCCAGCTCCGAGATCCGAGTTCTGAGGTAAACAGAACGGAGGCCTTACAGGGGCGAGACGGGATCAGCTGAGCCAGCGGGGAAGCGAAGCGCTGTGTGTATGTACATGTCTGACTGTGTGTTTATGCGGAGCTCTGTGCTGTGCTTCCACTATGGGAATACACAGTTGGACACCAATATTGCGTCGTTACAGAATGAGTATGAATGTGCAAAGACGTAATGAAGTCTGAGTTTAGTTAGCTGTTGCAGAAACACAGTCTGAAGAGGTCTAATAAGATAATAAAGAGCTAATTAATTATTTTTGAATATAAAAGCAGTTGTTTTTTTGGCACATACTTGGTTGTATTTCTTTTAAGAGTAAGACTAATAACATTTGTAAAAAAACAACACATTGAATGAGTTCTTCAGTCAGCTCAGTGACTCTTGGGAGTGCTGCTGATAACTTTGTGATGATCTCTTCCACAGCCAAACCTCTCTTTAAGCTTTATTGTCAGCTGCCTTTCACGTCAAAGATTAGCTATTCACCAAGATGATGAATCTGATTTATCTCAGATCAGACTGCATGCTGAAAACAACCCCAGAATTACTAAAAATATACTGACGCTGTGTAGCCTCTGACGTGCCAGATGCCAGTCACATAGATTAGGGGTGTCTTTTTCTTTTATATGGATGAAACGACAGATATTACCGACAGGGTGCAAGTTTTGTTCTACGCACTTGTTTTTGTAAATGAAAAATGAAATGCAGATGAGCTCTCTGGGGGATTTTTTATAGCCATCAGACACAGCGTCATTACATTTGAAAGTTAAAGTCAATTTGTTCCTTTTTGCATTTATACTGGGTCTGTTTGCAAGTCTGCTTTGATTAGTTTTGGTTGGTGGGTAGGTTACTTCTTCAAGATGATGGCATTGCTAAACATGGATTAAACTGTTGTCTGCAGTTAGTTGATGTTTGAGTGGTGAGTGTAGTTATATTTGTGTGTTAGTTTGAGGTTTGAGGTGATTTTTTTTGTTGGTAATTTCAGATCAATCCTGTTAAGTGTTTTCATGTGCAGTGACTTTACATTTGAGCTTCCGATGTCATATGTTGTCATACATGTGAAGAGTAATAGGAAACAGCGACGTGTGCTGACCTTTGTCAAAGTTACATAAAAACATGACACTACGATTGTTAGTACGTATGACATGAGTGAAATTTAGGACTCCATAATTCAACAACAGTTTAAAGGTTAACAAAAGTACATATTTAAGCACTTCACTTACATATGTATGTTCAATTGCTTATGTTGCTTTAGTTTAATACATTTAACAAATGTCAACGTTTAAATTTTGTTTCACATGGGACATGAATATTAATGTCTTTGGTCAAAGTCTTGCATTTTCTGCCCCCTTAAATCCACCCTGACCTCCTCACAGCGTGGACTTTCTGGCTTTTCAAACCACATCCCACATTTTTACATTTTTATCTCTTCGACATTAGCACTTAAAATGACAAGCTGTCTCTGCACAATATAAGCCAGTAGAGACTAAAAGAAGTGAAATGACACGCAAAAAGCAAAAGAAGGGGTTGTGATAATATGCAAAATGACTTTGACATTAGCATGTCAAACAGACAATTTACTGAGACCGGTTTTTACAGCAGAAGTTTTGACTTTAAATGGTAGGAAAAGCAAAGTTATAAAATGAACAATGATTCTCTTTTAAGGTTAGCATTAACAACAACAGGACCTGAAGCTGAAACTACATGTGTCTGGAGCAGTCTTTAGGCATGTATGCAGAAACATTCAAATCTTGATATTGGTGTTTTTACAACCATTGCAATAAAGGAATACCGAAAAACATTTAGGTTTAAGTTACAATAGTGACCATCAACAACAAATAATCTATATAGTTACTCTTTATGCCTTTATGGGGCTCAGACAAAGTGATTTACAACATGCTGCAGAATCAGTTTGTTTTACATTTCCACAGCAAAGATTCTCTATGAGTGATACATTTGGCTGTAAAAGGTACAGATGATCTTTTTTTTTTAACTGTGACAAAACCCAAGTTACACATGTTCAGGAAAAACAATCTGCACAGAGATAAAGGGTACCACTTGTTCCACAGGGGTCTCAAAATCAACACAAACCAAAAGTAAATCACAGGAGCTTTTAGGTAACCAGCTGCTTGATTGAGCTACAACCAAAAAGACAGAGACACTGGGCCTTACTTAAGGTTAGAATTACATATTTTAACCTATTTACCAACCTAAGACAACAGCTACCTTTATCATTTATCCACTTTCTAGCTAACATTGCCGTTTGGTAGAGGTATGGCAAAGATGTTCCAAGCTATTTCAAAATGATATTTGCTTTTCCTACTTAGTGTGTGCATCCAAAGTTAATATTAGCTGGGTAGAAGTTGGATGATAATGTAAGCTGTCGTCTGATGGTAATTATTGATTTAGCCAATATGCGGTTTTAATAACTTGAAATCAAGCCTTATGTCCTTTCATGTTTTCACATTGAAAGTGGCGGTGAAATCCTGAGAATTTGTCTGATAGTCTACGCTCATACAATTTGCATTCTGAAACAGAGCAGAGTAACAATATCAAGCATGATGTCAGGGGAAACTGGTGGCTGTTTGAATTTGTTCGATAGTGACGCATTTAATGTTGTAGTACGCAGTAAAAAAAATAAAAAGGTCAACAGAGGACTGCTGAAGCCTGTAGGAACATCAGCCACCCCATGAATAACCGATAGCAACAGGGGAGTGGAGGCGGGAAAAGTCAAAGACCACAAATGGTATAGATCGCTGCCCAGCCACTGCCATGATCTAGAGTGAAAGGAGGCAGAATTACATGGACAAAACAAACAAGCTCACCGCCATGGTTAGGTTTCTTAATAGAATTCTAAGAAATCATGAGACTTTTCATCACTAATCCAGTGACGGCGAATGGTACTGAAATCTGTGACACAGAGACAATGAAAGATACATAAGTTGCCATTACAAGTACAGGGTAAGGTTAGATCTGCTTAGCATGAGCAAAAACCTTGTAATATACTGACACTTCTGGTGTGAATTATTATCCAGTGGGAAGAAAGGATGGACACAATAGGCCTAATGTAACCCAATTTATATATTTCTTATAAATTTGAAATTCAGATTTTAAGGAAAACAAAATGTATTTTTTATGGTTATTTAAGTATCATTGGGTACATTTAGGGTGGCTTTCAGTAAAGTTATGGATGTCAAATTGCAGTTTAATATGCACATAATCGAAGGATTTTTTAATGTGAATATTTGGCTGTAGTTGGTGAGATGTCCTAAACTGCTTTGATACTTGCAGTATTGCTGTCTTATGATATGGTATTCATCCATCACAGCTGCTCAATAGTCCTCCTAATCCTTCCACAAGGGCAACAATAATAAAATCACACAATGAAATAATGAATAGCTTTATATAGGAGGGGAATGTTTTTCTCCCGTTTAGTTTCACACTGCTGTGGAAGCTACAAAAACAGCACATTTCAAATCGACTTTTCTAGAGAAAAGTGAGGGAAAAAAAGAGTGAGAGACTAAAGTTGATAATGACTCGTATCTGCAGGGATGCTTAACATCCCAAAGCCTCCGGACAAGCGGAATATTTCATGGAGGGATTGAATGGCTTATTTTCACAGATAATCTTTATTAAAGAATTTAAAGCCATATCTGACTGTATAGCTATGTTTTTTTATGCAGTCAGATATCTAAAGCACATCACTTTCTTGTGTAGCTTACTCCGACAAGCTTAGTCAAAGAGATATGTTCAGAAAATCGGCTATGTACGCTCAGGGCGCTCATTAAATTACAACACAGATGCTATCACTATCTGACAGTGTTTTCCAGGCATCGCGTTTCCTTTTTTTTCCTGTGAGCTCAAATCTTTATTAGAAGTCTGTATTATAAATCTGTTTTAAGCAATGTCTGAAGCAATACATGCTTCAAATGTTTGAAATAAATTTCAGGTCCTCCAGTGGGGAGGTATCTAGTTCTATAACGTTGAGTCACTCGCCCACAGGAAGTCTTTTTGTTTTTGCAGTACTGAAGGGAGAGTTGTGCTGTTAGTTTGCAACATAACCTACTTCTTGTTTGCAACCAGTGTCCCTTATGTTCATCTCAAACTTCAGAACCCAACTCTTTCATGTTAATTCTGGGCAAGAGGTGGCACATACCTTCCTGAATGAAGGGACTAGCTGTCTGGGAGAACACAGCTCCAGAGCCATTTATACATTATGTTGTGTTACAGCAGTAGGTTTTTGTTGTTGTTTTCTTTAGATAAAGCCTAAAATAAAGCTTTACATGTATCCTTTTTGGAGAAAGTCACATGTCCAAAAGGAGGTATGTGGCTTTATCAGGAACGTCCAGGATGTATGCATGATTTATGTGCGGCGTCAAAACCAGATAATAAAGAACGCTAACACTTTGGGACACCTAATGTATGATCGCGCCATGTGGCTGTGATAATGAACACACAGCTTATGGCAATCTGTGAGCAGAATACCTTGAATTATCGTTGTCAGCTCAGGGGATAATAGAGCATGCTCCCTTCTGTCAAACTGAAACAACTAATGCAGAATACAAAAACTATTGCACTCAAAATATAATATTTCATCAGACAGCTTTGCTACATATTTGTGAAGGCTCTCCCGGGGATAAAACATCTATCAGGAACAGGAGCGTATTGGCATACATCCGCTCAGCCACGTTTTTGTGTAACTAATTGGATAACCACACCAAGTAAAGCACGAAATTGCCTTTTTCTTTTTTTTTTATCCCTCCTGCAGCAGTGGATGCAACCCTCTCTGCAGGGCGTTGGTGGGGGCACAGAGGCACACACATTTATGAGTCATACATTTAATATGCTCTCCCTTCCTACTCATATCATAAACACTCAGAGAGATGGAAATGAAACATCCCCTTTTCTCTCTTTAACTACGTCGCAGACTTCGTCAGACGGTGGAGAGAGATTCTCTCCTCTCCGTCCTTTGAGTGTTTCTCATCTGT